GAGGCATAATCCTATGTTTGAAAGCAGCAGTTGATTTAAATTTCTACTGAGTTACTGAAGCATATTATCTTTTTAGTTAACATTTATGTATTTAAATGAAGCATCAACATGGGGGAAAAAAAAAAAGTAATTCTGAAAACCACACACAAAATAGGCTAGGTCTGTGTCCCTTAGCAGGAAGGGTGTTACAAACTAGGCTAAAATCTGAAAATGAAGGAACACAGAACTTCATCGAAAGTCCTCTAGGAGAATAAAACCAGAGTGGCAGTGTTCTCATCCACACTGAAATGAATGACACCACAAGCCTTGAGTCACCTAAAGGCTCCAGGATGGAGACCAATGCCCAGCAGGGCAGCGGCACCAGGACAGGAGGGACATCCAGGAATACTGGGGGTGACAGAAACGGGATGAAGCAGAAATGAGCCGGTACATACAACTTCTCCTATAGAGATTCACCTGAACTCACAGATTGGTGAGCCCTGGGAGAGCCCAAGTGCATTACAACATGTGAATAATATTTGTTTATCCTGGGTTATAAATGATCAATCAACAGGACAGGCAGAGTGAATTGTAACTAATGGTAAAATAGAAGTAACCTTAGCCTCCAAAGACTTCAGAGAAGCAGCGTCCAAAGTTTTGAAGCTCTGAAGTCTTAATAGTCCTAATATTAGACAGTCTGATACTTTTCAAACATCTAGCTTACTTTGTTATAATTCAGTGTAAAAAAGGAAAAGCATAAGAAATATCAACCAGTCTCAACGTTCATGGTATTCTAAAAACCTTCTATAACTTACATTACAGAGATATTCTTTAAGGTTCAAGGAAAACCCATTTCTTCAAATGAAGAGAAAAGAATTTATGCTTTGAAATTAAGTGGGGTGGGGGGGGAAGGTGAGTGGCTTAAAGAGAAATGTTAACACACTCAATACTCATGAGAACTCAAAGTGATTGGAACTATAACTATCCCAACTGAATAGCAGAGAAAAATGAGGCAGAGAAAAGTCAAGTGACCTGCCCGAGGCCACTGAGATAGAAAGGAAAAGAGCCAGGACTAACCCAGGCAGTGCGACTCTAGGGACTACATAATCACCCACTTCACAGGATGCTCAGGAACTAAGAATCCTGCAAACATTAGTCTTTGGATCTACCTGGAAATGTTGCTGATGTTGATGGATCGGACACTCTGACCATTCTGGATGCAGTAAAAGTACAGCCTTATCCACTCTCAATTTCTACTGGTCCTTAACATGTAAGCTTTACAGAAAAGTACCAGAACAAAATATCACAGAAAGACACCATCCCTACCTCAAGGTAACCATATAGGACAGTAAAACCCTATGTTTCCTGAGATGAAGAGAACTTCTAAAAGTCCTTCAATCAGTGCTTAGTGAATAGCGTTCTCTTCAACAATAAATATCCCAGAAGAGAGATAATGTTATTGCCTGACAAATTATCTGGTTAGATTTATCGTGGATAAATAGAATGTTTCAGGTTTGAACCACTCACTGCCAAACGAGTATGCTATGCTATGCTATGCTATGCTATGCTATGCTACACTATGCTACGCTATGCTATCTTATGCTATACTATGCTATACTATACTATACTAGAATGATGCTGTATTCACAGCTAACTTAGCTAATAAATAGGTGTGATCACATTAGCTTCATAGGCTCTTTAAAATGTAATATAGTAAACACCCAGAGCTTTCAATCTAATATTCCTTTATAGCTCTTACCCTAAATTAAACTTACTTCTATATGCTCAGTCGGCCCTACATTCATTTATTCACTGAGTATTTATTGAACGTTGACTTTGTCAGACATTGTGCTAGGGATACAGCAATAAATACAAATTTTCATTCTGGTAGGAAGACAGTCAAGTCTTAGCTCTTTGACAATCCTGTAAGCCTTTAAGGGCAGAACCCAATCCAATTTACTTTTAAGCTACCAACTACCACAACAGTATAAGCGCTTCTTTATATGAGAAGAGACACAGAGAGAATGCTTTATAATAAGGGAAGCATAGACTGGAATGATGCATCTACAAGCCAAGGAACCCCAAGGATTGGCAGTAACCATCAGAAGCCAAGAAGAGGCTAGGAAGGATTCTCCTCTGGAGATATGAGAAAGCAGGGGCCTGCTGACATCTTGAATCTAAACTTCTGGCCACCAGAACTAAAAGATGATAAATTTCTTTTTTTTTTTAAACCACCAAGTTTGTGGTACATTGTTACAGCAGATCTTGGACACTAACTGTGTTCTCTACTGCATTCTCGCATTGACTATTCTATGCTGACAGGCACCAGAAGACAATAAATGCTATCAAGTCACTCCACTAAACATCAGAACATCTGATCAGCAGTTAAGAGAGTCCTTCACATTTGGACTCAGAAAATGTGGAGCAGTAGGCAGCATCTTTAGAATAATTTAGTCCAGGTGAAGCACAGACCATTTTGGCACTCTAGGTGTCAGCTCTTTCCTCCTACTTGCAGACATCCAGCCTCAAGGTGAGAAAGCACTTTGCAATCATGAGAAAGTAGGGTGAAAGTTCTTGTGATTAAGTGAAGATATTTTTTCTCCGAAACATTTACCAACTCTTTATAGTATATGCATAAATAATTTTGTGCTCAAGATCTTTCTGTGTGGTAGCGAATTTTTGAAGACACTTTTTTCCTTGAGCGAAGACACTCATATTTTCCTTGAGTGTTTTTCTTTTCAGTGTAAACGTTTTTAGTCTCTTCAATGCACACTCCAAAGACATAGTACTTCGATTTTCACTCTCCTAATAAACATTCTCTGAATACATTCCTTATTTTGCCTCTGAAATACAGGAAACAAAGAGCTGAACTCCTAATCTGACCTCTTCAGACTTCTTCTACCATTTACGTTCAAAGCATTATGCTTCTATTAATGTAGTGACAACTAGCACTGGCTTTATTTCTTTAGTTATTTGTTCCTTTATTAGTAGTTGTTTTATTGTTAAAATTAAAAAAAAAACAAAACAAAAAACAAAACTATAAAACCACCAGAAAACACACACACAAGAATTTTAATAGAACACAGCAAGAAGCTACCAAATAAATATAAGTGAAAGAAACTGAATTAAGGGTGCTAATTAGGAGAACAGAATGAACAGAAAAACAATACGGAAAGTGAAGAAAGGTGGAGACTATCTACCTACATGGAATCCTAGATTGCTATTTTCCTAAGAGGAGAATAAACTCAGTTATGCACAATGCTCAAAGTATACCGAATTTGTGCTCATCGCTCCTTAAAGATTCTGAGGGCATTTCAGAACATTGAAGCACCTCAGGTTCGTCTTTATGAATATTTATTATCCCCCTGTCACAGTGTGCTACCTACAGAAACCTCATGAGAGGTATTTGTGGATTTGATTATGCCGAAGCTGCGTGGGACTACGTGCTAATAGAAATCTCTATTAACAGAAGGCTCAAGATATAAGTGCTCAGTGCAGTGTTTTCCAGTTCTTTATTGTATCTGTATATAATTATTTTCTAAATTGACATTCCTGAAGAAGAGGACATGTTAAATTCTATCCAGAAAAAGAAAATAAACAAAATCAGTAATGAATAAGACCTTTGGAAGCCAGTTACTGTATCTTCACTTTGGTAAAGGGAATATCAAATTGAGGAAAAAATAAAGTCATGAGAGTGATACCCCAGACAAGCAAATGCGCCTCTGTGCCAAATGTGTATAAATGTGAGTGGCCAGCTTGATTTGGGTGGGGCTAGAACAAACAGCACCTCTCACACTTCAGCGTTCACAAGAAGCGCTTGGGAATCTTGTTAGACACGGGGTCCCAGTCAGCGAGTCTGCGGTGTGCCCTAACAGTCCTCATTTCTAACAAGCTCCAAATTATGCCCACGGTGCCTATCTTTGGTCACACACTGGAGTGGCAAAGGACTGGAACCCATAGGTTTTGGAACTTCCTATCCCCTTCTAGCTTCTCTGGCTCCAATCATTGGTCACCGAAAGCTCAGGGAAATTATGGTCATATAAAAGAGTTCATTCAGGCTGTGCACTTCATTTGGAGGGACAGTCTCACCAAGATGAAGACATTTATGCCCTCAAGACATTTCTTCCCTGAGGTTTTCTTAAAACTGTACACATGCAAATAAAGCTCTAAGCCATGGATTAAAAAATAAATGAAAATCTTCGCTACTGTAGAACTTAAGCTTCTAACTTCAACATCTAAAATTATTTTTTCTTACTTTTTTGTGCATATTTTTACTGAATTTCACTTCATAAAAATTGATTTTGACAGCCACTTACTGCAAAGCACAGGGTTTTTGTTTCTGAATTATTGTAAAAACTGATTTATGTTTCTTGAAGAAAAATTAGCATAACTGGAAAACGCAAAATAAAATTAATATCTTTCAAAAATCTTTAAAATTAGCAAACCTTAATTTGCATGAATAATCTGTTTTGGTTAGAAAGATGTAAAATCCTAAGTGACTTATAGATTAGTTGAATTTTAAATAAGGAGTTTAAGTATTCATTAAATATTTAAACCAAATAAGAAATAGTTCTCTTTGGGTTTAGTTGGGTGATTATTTTGATGTTTCAGTTTAATTCAGTTTTAAAAATATAAATTCAATTTTATTTAAAATAGATTTTAATGTATGTTGTATGAATTACATACTCGTTATAATTTATTTTAATTATTTGAATTCAATAAATATGATGCATTTCAGATCCTTTTGGTATGATTCTGTGTTATATAGTTTATACAATAACCCTCTTGAAAAGTTCACCTTGCATTTCAGAATATTTCCTAATTTAAAATAATTTTAGAACTCATAACCTAACATCTCAGGTAAGTGTGCCGCACACGTGCACGTGAGCGCGCGCGCGCGCACACACACACACACACACACACACAGGCATGCACAATATTCACTGTGGTTGCCATGCTTGGTGTTTCTCTGCCCTCTCCTGGCAGCAAATGAAATCTCCCTTTGTTAATTTTAAACTTACCTCCAGTTAAGTGTTTTTTTCTCTCACAGAACTGTAGTTCAAAATACTTTATGAAGCAACTGGACAGATCATTGAGAGTTGTCTTGGCATGTCCGAAGGCTTCTAAGATGCACATGGCCTGTAGTAAAAGCAACATTTATTGAACTACTCGTTTTTTACATAATTAGGAAATACTGGCAAAGATTCAGGGAATATTCCCTTATCTAAGAGGTTCTCCATTGTTCATATAATATCATGTTAGATTTCTGAGGTCACTGTCCTCAACTACAAACTACAGTAGTCCCCCCTTATCTGTGGTTTTGCTTTCCATGATTTCAGTTATCTGCAGTCAACCATGGTTCAAAAATATTAAAGGAAAAATCCAGAAATAAACAACTCATAATTTTTAAATTGCACACTGTTCTGAATAATGTGATGAAATTTTGGATGGCCTTGCTGCATCACCCCCGGAAGTGAATCATACCCTTGTCTAACGCATCCACACTGTATAAGCTCCCCGCCCCTCAGTCACTTAGTAACCTTCTCAGTTATCAGATCGACTGTCACAGTATCGCAGTGCTCACATTCAAGTAACCCTTATTTTACTCAATAATGCCACATTCTTATAACTTTTATTACAAAACAGTTATAATTGTTTTATTTTACTATTTGTTATTGTTGTGAATTTCTTACTGCACCTAATTTAAAAATTAAACTATCACAGGCATGTATGCATAGAAAATGTATATAGAGATAAAATGTGTATAGAAAATCATATGTACATATGTATATTTTTGTAGTTTTAGAGAGGAGAAATTAGAGTTAACATAAGCAATATTCAGATTTTTCTTTTAAAAATGATAAATTCGCTTAAAAATTGGATTATAATCATCTTTTAATTTACTTATCTAAACACTCTTTTCAACACTGAGCCCCTACATAACCCTCCCTTTACTCTGTTATTGCTGCATGCCAACCATTTTCCCACAGAAACAAGAATAAGAATTCTAGATGAAGCTGTGTTATCCAGTGTGTCTTCTTCCCAAGTGCTCTCTTTCAGAAGTTGGGAGTTTGGAGCTTTAAAAATGCCATTAAAAAAGCAAATCGGGCCAACATGGCATCTGAAATTCTTTCTTGACGTGTTTCCTTAAATGTTGACCATAGAACAAACACCATTTCATCTCATGGTTGATTGTGCCTGTGATAATGATGATGACCAAGCAGTTCTCCAAAAAGTATGAAAACCTGGAAGGTCAAGGTGTTTTTCTATCTTTCAAGATATCGATAATGTTAAATCAGTTCCTGCATCAGCCACAAGAGAGAGCACAATAATATCTTATTGATACACTGGGTGGTGGTGATTCCTTATCCTTTCTGGTGACAGTATTTTTTTGAGAATTTTATTCAAAATTTAAAAAAATCATTTTACTCCTAATTTTTAATTTTCTGGATACCGCTATACGAAGGCACTGAATTCACCTGAAGATAGTTCATATTTTGAAGGGTTATAAAACACTTTGATGTTAAAAAAAAGTGTTGAGTTGTGGTAATAGTGAAATATATTTTAAAATCTATTTTTGAAGTTTGAACTTTTGGATAGAAATATACACAGAATCTACAGAACTCTATGATTTAAGTGTCTTTATAATAACACAATTTTAATGATCAGAACAGTGAATTGAGGGTAGTGATGGCAAAAAATGTTTTATAAAAAATAATTATAAATAGTATTATGAAGGTCCTACTTTTGCTTCTTTTCCAATAATTTAATATTAAATATACAGTGAAATTAATCGTGTAATTATAATTATATCACATTTTAAACATTTATATTATATTAAATGACTAAAAATAACATATGGAAATAAATTTAAAAAAATATTTTGGCTTCTAGTTATTTTGGAGCTGCATCTGACAATAAACTGATTTTTTATTATTCTATAGAAAGGATATAAAAGATAATTAATGACATGTGCCCAAATAGGAAGTATAGGGTAAAGGTTCAATGTACGTGCTTTGGAATGAGAAGTAGCTGCCCTCACATTCCAATTCTACGAATGACAAATTACACGACATTTAGCAAATTTTTTAAATTCTCTGAACCTCATTTTCCTCTATCCTAACACAGGAATGTCTCCTTCAGTGGTTATCGGCATCAGGTGTATAAAGCCCTCAGATTGGTGTCTGGCACATACTAAGCATTCAACAAATAAGAAAAATTAATTGTATTTATATTAATAGAAAACATTCATATTTTGTTTACTATGTGCCAGACACTATTCTGAGGTGTGTATATATAAATACACACATATATATGTATTTGTGTCTATATATAAAGTTATATACCTTTATATGTAAAGTTATATATTAACACGTGTATAAATGCATGTGTGTATATATGTATGTGCATACATATATTTCTCTTAATCTTCACAACTAATGTCAACATTTTACAGTAAAAGAAATTGAGAGATTAAGTAACTTTCTCAAGGTTCAGAGCTTGTAAATAGTGGATCTGGGATTTGAAACAAGCAATCTCTCTACTGAATTGTATGTTGAATCACTACATCACAGGTCTATTAGTGCTGAAATAACAATGAAGACATATAAGCATAAATTAATATAAAACTAAAGTCATTAAATGAAATATAAATACATGGCATTCTCTCATTATGCACTTCTGGTCCATAATTCAAGAGTAAAATACTAAACTCTGAAATAATCAGTAGTTTTTATCTATAATTAGCCACTTGGCCAATAGGTGGCACTAAACAAATGTGTTAAAAGCAATACTGAGCAAATGTAAATCTGATATTAATTCCACCATTCAACTTAACTTTGTTAACTAGTAACATTGTAGTGTAATAAAACAAAAAAAAAGTTGGCAAAGGAAATTAAGTATATATTTCCTTAGTATTTACTGATTCAAATATTGACATGATTTTTTTCTGCTTACATTGTATGGTATTTTTTTTCTATAAAATTTTAATAGTTATGGAATTAAAAGTTATGCATTATTATCCTGGTAGTAGTTAACTTATTGTGTGTTCTAAAAGCAACACCTGAGTCCACTCAATGAAAAATAATGGCTTAATCAAGTTGACCCCATCACTCTGCTTTGTAAAAGCAGTTACTCAATAAGTAAATAATTTGAATGGAATTGAATGTTTCTTAAACTTGAAACTCAATTGGGCCAGAATTAGTGAAAAGTCTCAGGCAGCTTTTTTTCCTCCCCAAACCTGACTTTCCTCTTCCAATAAACCTATTGCCATGAAAGATCCCTTGCTTTCACAGTTTGATATTCAAATACAGGGATTATAAACAACAGCCTTCTTAACTGATCTTATCTGCTTTGAAATTGTACAGAGGAACAAAAGTAATATCTATGGTGACAGGATTCAAATCCATCTGCCCACTGTGGAAAGCACACTCTGAAGACCATTTCAGAGGCAGAATGTAAACCTGTGTAGACTTTTTCGGACGGGGCAATTGAAGTTTAAGACCAAAATTCAGAAACATCACAGCTGCGTGCCACTTACATATACACGTATTACCTATATAAAATACCACAATCATCTTTGTCGCTCAGTGCTGGGTTCTCCCTCACCATCCAGGGACCGCCTAAATCTCCTTCACTTCCTCTCTGGACCCTCTTCATGGGCAGTACTGCTTACCGTGACGGCACAAAACTTTTGAACGGCCAACTTCTACCCAAACCCCTTCGTTTTGTGCTTCTCCTCCCCACATTCCGGATTATAATCTTTAATTTATAAATCTTTAATCATGCCATCAGTGTAAACCACAAGGAAAGTGTTCTCTACTCCACAGCCTCTGCAAGATTCTCTGTTGACCATCATCTCAGTATGTCCTCCCTTTTATGTTTCCACCATTCTTTCACTAATTATTCTTTGGTAACTACTGATTACAATAACCTCCAATGACTATTTTTCCCTCAAATTATACTAAGATCCAGGGCAAAACTTTTTGCTCTAAACTCAACCAGTGTTTCCCAATGGAAGATACCATGTGTATGCTTGTCGTGCATGTCGTCTCAAGTGGCAGCTAACCTGGTTGGACTGGCTCTCTCACTCAGATCACTCACTCCTCTCAGGGCCACCTAACAAAGGTTCCTTTTATCTCATCTTGCACTGAACTTCTAGCCTTCTACTAAATAGCTCCTTATGTTAAAGATGCTCCTTTTTTTTTTTTTTTAACCAATCTCCTTAATTAGGTTTTTCTTTCATGCAGAAAGTACTATTTTTGTCTCTTAAATGTATATAATTTCACTAAACTCCTGTGATGTTGTAAAGATGGTCACTTCATAAATTTACCCAATGCTTGTATTTAATTCTTGGATATACACTTGGAAGCTGTGCAAAAACTGTGGCTGGTAATTTTCAAGAATGTCTTGGACACTGAATGGTATTCATGCAGATGATAATTTAAAGTAAAATGAAAAAAATTGACGTGAAGTTTAAGCTATACTCAAACCTGGGAAATATTATTTCATGAGACTAGAAATCACTTATTTAGGAAATCCTTAATTTTCCTTGAAGAAGGATTAAAACAAAAAATATGAATTAGAAAGTTTTATTTGAAATTTGCATTGACATTATAATATTGATTCCATATGCTAATTAATTTTGGAAGAGTTAGATCTATCTTATCCAAAGAAATGTATTCACTTAAGCTAAAATGCAAAGCTAATTTAAATAAGGCAATCTAGAATGCATTTTAGAAATTACATAGCCTTACTCTTTCACAAAGGATCATTTTAATGATTGTTTTAGTCTATAATTTACACTGGAGACTACTCTTCTTTGTCATTACAATTAAGCTGATAGATCCTGTTATTCTATTAGTTAACCTGAGTCTATTTTATAACTGTTGTTTTATAAATTCTCCAATCCTTAACTGTCAGTAGTCAGTATATTACAATATCTGAACAAAGAAGATAATTTATGCTATTCTTTTCCAGTTGACCCAAAATGTTAATTTATTTTGAACAGTGCTGTAGAATAATGCAGGTGCTCAATATAATTTGAGCTTAATAAATGGTTATGAATTAAAGTCATTAATGAACACATGATACCATGGGTACATTGCAGAATTTATTTATTAAATATTCCTCATAAAGAAAAAAATCTCTAGAATCAGTCATAAGCTTGGGAATCCATAAAGGCAGATTTAAGTCCTTCTTATTCAAAAGTAGAAAATATAAGGAAATAAAATTAATGAACTGATTAAATGTAAGTTCCTCTCATTTCTAAATGAGGAATCCAATACTAAAATTTCCAGAACATTCCCATGTAGACATTACCATGGCAGAAATAACTCTGACCTGCAGCCACGGTCAGAGTTATCTGAGGTAAAAAGGGCGGATGACACAAAAACTAACACATATAACACAATATTCACTGTGCGATAATTTTCTAGATTTTTTAATGTATAAACTTTTAGATGGCATTGTTTTAGGGAATGATTAAGAAAGCAGCAACTGTGTTTATTCCAATGTAATTATATTTCAAATATAAAATTGCTGAATGAAATTCAAGTGTCTTTCTGCAAAGAAATGTGTAGTGAAGCCTGTATACAAGAGATTCTGGAGGAGCAAGCTTTGTAAATTTGTGACTACGTATCATTATATTTGCAAACTTCACTTTTTAATACATGCCGAGAGAGTGTACCGGTACAACATGGCCTATAATGTGTATAATGTACTTATTTTTTTGTCAAGTAAATGATATAGCATATAAGGACATCATTTTCTTGGATGTTAAACAGAGAATGCTGATTTATTTTTAACAAAACTTATATTATTATGTGTGTAAAATAAAACTTTTTATATAAATAAATTTGATGTTTTTTGTCCTGAGGAGGTAATTTTTAACAAATAAGTCTTCCCTAATCTTGACCAAAAAAAATAATGATTATTACAAAGTAAGAAGAGAAAGAAAGAAAACGTCCACTAACTAAAGGCAGACAAGATAGAGAACAAAAAAGACAATGTTGGTTCTACAAATCTCTCTCTCTCTCTCTCTCTCTCTTTCTCCCTTTCTCTCTCTCACACACACACACACACACTCACACACACATTTACAGGGCTCTGATTACATACAAATGGTTTATCCACATTAAATTTATTTGATACATTAAGATGTTAATTTAGGTAATTTAGGATAACTGTTTTATATGTGTGCCAAAATATGTACTGTATTCATGTATTCATTCATTCACCATATAGAAACTGAGTCCTATCACATGGCAGGCTCTAAGACAGTGTCTCTGAATTCAAGGGACATGTACATGGAAGCCACTTAAGATATTTGTTGAATAATGAAATAACTCATGAGACATCATGGCCCAGTTTGAGAGAGAAAGAGAGGGATATGTGTTCAAAGGTGGCTTCAGCAAGAACAAGAGAAGTAATTCTTCTATAAGGCTAGTGAATTAAATGACACCACCCTGAAAATTGCTGAGCCATGCTGATTTACTGGATTTGATCTCCAGGGAATAGTCATGCAGGAGTTTTGAGCAAGGGAGATGTTGTGATACAGGCTGCTAGTATTTCACCAAAATCAATTCTCCTCTCCTTCCATCTAATAGTGTAAGCACTTGGCTGCCTAGTTAGAGACAAGTTCTAACTGCACAGCTTATTGACTGAGTCCAAGACTGTTACTATGAGCAGAAGCCATGCACCTCCTACTAACAAAATCAGCCACCTCGCCTCACTTGTGCTTCCTGTTCCCTTCCTCTGAGCTGGATGGAATACAGATGCCTCACCATGAAGGCAGGGATCAGTGCCCTGGGAAAGACAGAACAATGAGAATGAAAGAACCTGCGCTCTAATCGACGCTGGGAGCAGAACTGTCCCATCAGCTGAGTCTGGCTATGTGTAAATGCATCAGAAGACGACTGAAAATGGGAGATGCAAGGAAACGCATTAGGAGACTGTTCAAGAAAATCTGAAGAAAGAAGATGATGGTCTCAATGACAATGATGATCCTGGACCTAAAAAATTTTGGTTTGGCTAAAGAGCTAGGGTTAACAGGATATTGTGATTGTTCAAGAGGCAGAGAGGCTGGAGTCAATGTGAATTCTAGGTTTCTGGCTGCAGAAACCAAAAAACGATTGTGCCATTTATTGTGATGGGTCACCTGGGAGAATTCTGGTGAGAAGGAAGATGATGAATTAAATTCTGGATGTCTTTGAGGCGCACTGTGGGATGTCCAGAAAGGCTATTGGACAAGCAGGTCTGTATCTTAAGGAGCAGAGGGATGTGATTAGGATGGGAAATGACAGCATGCGAATGCAACCAAATCATAGGCCCAGTGGTCATAAGCAAGAGCATAGCGTAGAATCCTTGAGTCTTCTAAAATAATAAAACACATATAAAAAGTCTCCTTTTGTCTTAGTCTTAGAACAATCATCACAAACTTATATTACTCTAAGGCGATATTCCTATAGAAACGCTAAAGTATGGAGAGTTAGCTCTGTAAGTAAAGGCTCCAGAGCAGCACACTTCTGAGTTATGATCATTTTTCTTTGATTATGGATCATCTTTCTGTCTGTTCTCGACCACAGAGGTTCCCTCTTGCATGCATGTTCATTTTTAGGAATTTTCTAGCAACCCTTCCAATAATAGGCTGTGGTATGGAAAAAAACCTGTTAACAAAACTTACTAGAACCATGTACAAACAGTAGAATCAGTCTATGGACAAGCACCTGTGTGTGTCTCCTTGAGTAAAATTTCATAATATTTCTGAGTTTTTTGTGTGAAATTTCTGACCTTTATCTGAGCTGCTAATAGGTCTTCTTCCTCCTTGAAACCTGATAGTATTTTAGGTAAATAAAGTAGTAGGATAAGGAGTCTTCAAGTAAAAGCATTACTAAATAGAATTTAAAAATCACTTTTGAAGATTTATTTCCTGTTCGTCAATATCCTTAAGGTTTACCATTGTCAATTCTTTCACACACTGAAACTTTATTTATCAGCTCTCAGTAATCGACCACGAAAGTTGCTTGCCTGGTCAGTCCCTGCCCAAATGTGCCCACACAGCCAAGTGCACTTTCTATATGAGCAATAACAATCTCTAACTATATTACATGTTTCCAAACCTGCTGTTCTGAACAAATATAAAAAAAGGAGTAGGTTCAAAATATTTTTAACATATATATGAGAAAATAAAAGTTCACTTGAACAATATACCAAGCCTTAAGATCTTTTATTTCCACAAACTGTTACCAACTTAGGGTCAAACGAATAGTCTATTATGATGTCACCCTTTATTTGTAAAGAACATTTCCTTGGCTCAACATATTTTCCAAGCAAAATAAGGCACTTACATGTTTAAATTTGGAATCAAATATAGGCCTGCTGGTGCTAGATCTACAGGTTAGGTGTCTCATTATTTGTTTGCTGGCTTCAGACTTTCCAGATCCTCTTTCTCCACTAAAATAAAATGGAAAGAAAGAACACATTTACTGTTTAGGTGAATGTAGTAAAAAATTAAATAACCATAGATTATTTTCACATACAAAGTTGGTGAGGAATAACATAACTTTTAATGAGTTTATAGTATCATTTAACTTTTCAATTTGATTCATCATTCAAAATATTTAACAAATATGTACTGTATTATATACTTTATGATGTTTTAAATGATGAGACTACAAATGAATATAAGGCAACCTCTGCCAGGAACAAGCACTAATAAAACCTGTTATTTTTAATGACAATATTTTGATATTTTTCAGGCATATTTCATAACTTACCTAATTTCTATAGATAATAACCATTATTATATTCCTGAAACTAGATAATATAGGGTTAGCATAAAATTCCAATACAATAATTATTATTATACCAAAGTGGTCTGATATAAAATAAAGATTTTACTGCATCCTGATAGAATATTCATAAAAAGTCTTTTACCTATTAGGCAATTTTTAAAATACATATATAAAGCTCTTCACCAGTGCTTCTCAGGTTTCTCCCTTGAACATTTGTTCTGGTGAATTTGATTAAAGAGTGTTTGCCAGAAAAGAAGATGAAATTTAATTATCTTATTCAAGTTTCAAGTTGTTAATGAATTCTTCTATTCTCCTCACTTGTGTTGATCATAAATATTTTAACTACTTTTAGAACCACCGCCCTAGCATCCTCAGCAGAGCAGGTGACAGCGACCTGCACAAGTAGCTCCTTATCTGAGTTCAAAACCTTTTCTTTTAACCTTCTAATTTCACAGCAGAAACAATCTAGGTATTTCATGATGGAAATTTAATTTCTACAATTATGTTTGTTGTTACAAAAATTCTATAATCCAGCAAGATGATTAGATGTTTCATAAACCATTTTTTTATCCGACTTTTACTTACATTTACTCAGGGATAAATCTTGAAAATATCATTTTCCTTTTTCAAATATTGCTCAAATTTAAGCTTCATCTAGTCTCAGAAGCGAGCCTCTTGGACTCACTTCCCAGATAAACCATCTACCTGGACATTCAACTAATTAATAAGCATTTACTAATTCACACCATTGGGCTCACATCCCAAATTCACTATCTACTATTTATGAGACTCTGGACTAATTAGTTAACTCTTCTAATACTCAGTCACCTGATATATAAAATAGTGGTAATAATAAGAATAATAATCCCTATCTCATAAGGTTGCCAAAGCAATGAATAAGATAATACATGAAAAGCATCTAGTGAAGGGTCTAGCACTTAGTAATTTTTCAGTAAGTATTAGTTGTTATTTGTCAACACTACTATACACTCCCCGCAATTCCTCGATTTTTAAGAAGTTTCCCTTTTTGTCAAAGTAAGGCCAGAAAACGCAATAGATAACGCGGATAATCACAGAGCTGCTTGACTCAGGAATAGATGGGGTCACCCTCCAGTACCTCTCTTATCCTGGTGACACTTCAGAACAAGTCTGAAAACAACTGCTTCTTTGCCATTTTGGAAACCAGGACACCATGACTTTCCATGAAATTTTTGATCAAATTAAGAACGTAAAAGTATATAAATAATGCTTATTTAAATATTTAAATGTCTTTTAGGTTCTATCCAGGTGTCCATTTTTACACTCATTCATTTCACTTTGACTTGTTGTGCATTGGTTTATTGACAGGTTCAGTTTTCAACCAACAGTACATGTGATAACTCAGGCAAAGCCATGAGTATTTATAGAAGTCCCCTCTTGTAGAGATTTCTCCTAATGTAAAACATAATCCTCAGTGCAGATATTATTTTAATACCTAAATATCTACTTAATCTTCTATCAATACATAATCATATTTCACTCTTCTTCTCGTGGTACTTTTTTGGGGGGGTGTGAAAGATTTTTGCTCTAATATAAATTATCCTCCTAAACATCTTGATATTTTTGAGCTAATGTTACCATTATGTTTCAATAAAAAATTACTTCGGGTGCATAATTTTGGTGAAATATGAACAAAGGTAAATATCTAGAAGTAGGTGGGAGAACCCATATTTGCAAGATAATTATTGTATTTTGGTTTTGGGCAGCACCACATTTTGGAATGGGATGGGTTCACTGATACCGGGTGCCTTTCTTTCCCTCTGTGTTCTAAGTTTTGAATGCAAAGGTACTCTGGTTCTAAGTCGTAAATCTTCAAAATGAACTGACTTTCAGGTTAAGTTTATAGATATTGATTCAGCCACACTTAGAGCTATTTCTAACAACACAGATATTTCTCCTTTGTAACAGGTCAAATGTACTTATTGCAAAGATATATTGGACTGCAAACTGCTGAGCAAGTAAATAAATGTAAACCATAAGAAATGAGGGCAATTTTACCACTAAGCCCACAAGGAAAAACGGAGCATCAGGGATGGGGTGAGGGGTGAGTTACCTGAGAATGAAGCACTGGGGTCTCTGCTCCTGGAAAAGCTGGTGAAAGGCTCTCTCTGCACAGGAGAAAATGTGAGGTGGCAGAGAGGAGCATGGCTGCCCCATGCTGCTCAGGTAGAGCTGGGAGACCTAAAATAGAGTGCAGCACAAAGACAGAAATTTGTGAAAAGCCTTCAGGATACCTTGCTTATGATTCAACTGACTTATTTCTAAAACACAAAAGCAAATTTATCTCTAATTTTGAATCTCATTTGTAAATATAAAACATTTGTAAAATTATGCCCTTTACAGTATATTTTAAGTGTTCATAATGATAAAATGGAGGTTTATGTTTGATTCTTCAATACTAGGTTCACAGGCTTTAAATAATTCTGCTGTCTTTAAAGAGAGCAACTCACAAAAATCCAGTTTAATATACATGAGGTAAGCTGAAACTGATCATTTACATTGGATACAATTTCTCTCAGCAATATTTAATTTCAGTAACATAAGAGAAAGGATTTTTAATTTGAATAAGAAGCAACTGAAACATATATGATTTTATAAATTTCACAGAAAAACAAAAATTTAATTAACTTAATTTCAGTGACAGTGATTTATGGTGATTGCCATGGTGATTCAGTGCCAATATTTTTAAGTCCTTTTGAGTTCTAGTGAATCCTGCTACATTTGAATAAAAACAAAATGACAGGAAGACTTCTGAGACACGAAGAAATATCAGACAAACAATTTTTATTTCACAGAATAACTGGCCCATAACTTCAAAACTGTCAAGTTTGGGAAGTTCAAGAGAAGACTGAAGAACTGCTTCAGATCAAAGATTCAAGAGCTGAGTGGTTCAGTGTACCCTATGATGCTGGCCTGGCTCTTTGGCTAAGTGGGCATGAATGGAACATGGTAAAGACCGGAATGAGGACTCTTGATTAGATGATAGCAGTACATCAGTAGTAATTTCCTATTTTTGATAGTTCTATAGAGGTTATATAGGAAAACGCTTTTGTTTGCAAGAAATGCACAGTCTTCAAGGTTGATGGGACAACATACAATCAAATTATTTGAAAATAGTTGAGGAAAAGTTGTTTGTACTACTTATCTGCAAATCTTCCATAAGGTTGAAGTTATTTAAAATTACAGGGAAAAAGAATGTTTAAAAGTATAATGATCTATAGCTATAAGAAATAGTTAGATAAATCTCACAAACATAATGTCAAGTGGAATCTATCAGATACATAAGAAAACATACTAAAATATTCTATCTACGTAAAGTACAAAAACAGGTAAAACTAATCTATGCTTTTAGAAAGTAGGTTGGTGGAACCTTGGGCAAGGTGTTAGTGACTGGTAAGGAGCAAAAATGTGGCTTCTGGAGTGCTGATAATGTTTTATATCTGAGTGCTCATAAACGTTTATTAGTCTGTACATTAAGAAATAAGCACTTTCTCATATGCATTATATCTTGATAAAAATTCAAAAAGCCAGAGTCATTAAACACTGTTGTTCTGGTGCAGATTCTACAACAAAAGATCACTAGAACACACTAGAGAACTAACTGCAGCCCATGCATGGGTGAGGACTTGGTGCATGACAAGGTTCTGCATCACTTATCAGTAGTAAAGGGTGGTATTGAGAAAATTAATCATGTATTTGTAATGGAAAGAAATGCTGACTTCTACCCCAGGCCATGTGTAAAAATAAATTACAGATGAATTTAAGTCCCAAATATAAACAGCAAAACTTAAAATCATTTAGAGAAGTATATAGAACAGTACTTTCATGATTTGGGAAAGGAAATAACAGTCATAAATTATATGATAATGATGAGTCAACCTCACGATACTACATTTAACAACTCCTGTGCAATCACAAACATTATACATACAACAATGAAATAAAAAGTCAAAGCAAAGACAGAAAAGCGAATAAGCTGTGCGTATAATCATTAAATTGTCAATATTTTATAAATGATTCTTACTAATCAATAAGAATAAACTGGAAATAAAAGAGAAAATTGGGCAAAAAATATAAATGAAAAAGAATGACCAATAAATATGAGAAAAGATGCAGAAACTCTCTGGTAACCAGAGAAATGCTACTTCAAACAATAAGGCCATATATTACACATAAAATATTGGTAACTTTATCAGATAATTTAATAATATCAATAATAGCTTACACTTGCTATGTGTTTGCTGCTGTTCTCAGCACTTTATACTCACTCATTCATCCATCCAATCCTCTCAGAAACAATCATCTTCCTTTTTAGAGGTAAGGAAATTGATGCAAAGAAGTTAGTGACTGGTCCAAGGTCACATGGCTAGTTAGTGGTGGAGCTTGATGTCAAAATAAAGTTTTCTCCAGGGCTGGAAAAATATATCTATACTACCGAGTTCTGTTGTTCTAACTAATGAGAAGAATAATTTGGCAATATCTTCTAAACTTAAGGAGGTTGGTTTGACTAGGACTCTCTCTGCAGAAATTCTCAAATATTAGCAAAAAAAAGCACACAGAAAAACAGGTCTTAGCATTCTTTGTAGGAGTAGAAAACAAAGAAATATTTTAAAAGTCTGTATAAGGATTAATTAATAAAAGTGACTATTTTAATATAATAAAATACTATAGGGCATTTAAAATAAATTAACTAGACCTGAATCTTTCAACATGAAAAATATTTGAAAACACAATGGTTAATGATTTTTTCCTTAAGAAAAGGACATAGCTAATATGTCCTCTGAGTGAATTAAGATAGAAAATAATGGCATATGCATTTTTTATTGCATATATATGTATAACCTATATATATAGTGAATGCAAAAGATTGAATGAGAGTATAATAATTACAGAATAGTGGTTATGACTGCATATGAAAGAAATAAGCTGAAGTAGAAATTACTCTATAAAGATAGCACACTGTATCATCTAATCTAAGACACCATTTAACAATTAAACTAGAAAACAATGTGTTCTTATCACATTTTAAAGTTGCATTCTGACCTCAAGAGTATATGTGAAACAATTCATTTTTTATTTAAAATAAATATGTGAGACCCATATGATGGTGTGCACATGACTATTTTACTATGCTTCAACTTTTTATATTTTTAATTTTTCCCAAATTAAAAACGAATATTAAAAACATTTCAATGATAGTGATGTATACATTATAATTCATAAACCCACTAGTAAGGTTTAATCAAGCTTTATTTTCTTTTAGGACAAATTTCTTTTTGAAAACTTGTACTAGCACGAGTTCACTTCTCCCCAAGTCTAACATGGACCTAAATGAATTTTGACAAATGTTTTAAAACTAACCTGTTTGTGAAAAATCTTGCTGAAGATTTCATTAGTCTTATAAAGAAAGCGAGACACAAAACTCAGGAGCACATATCAATCTACTTGTACATGGAGTTCATTTCACATTCCTATTCTGTTTCTTCAAACCTCTTTGGGGTTACATATCCTCTGTAGGCTGATTTAAAAGATATTAGATATGGTAATGCATGTTGAGTGTTTAAATACATTTTTTTCATGCTAACCAAATTAGTAAACTTTCTCAGTTCCCTTTTCTTATAAGTCTGTTCCTTTTCATGCAAAATTAGAGTTTGTGTTATAGAATATGCCATTGCTACCTTCTGGTAATACTTTGCTTGATGCTAATCCTAAATATAAATATGAAATAATAATTTTAATATAACATTTTCTATTTATTTCTATAAAAACTCGAAGATTTTCACTTATGCAGTTCTAGTTTTCTGAGTGACTACAAGCCATCTAACTTTTATACTGGTTGTCATTTTCACTATTAATATTATTGCATGTTCTCAGTGGTCCAGCAAATATCATAAGGGTCTGCTATTTCCTTTCCCACAGGCCTTCTCTCTCTACTTCGCTTTATTCTCTCCCTATCTGTATCATTTGGGAACAAGAAGATTCCAGTCAGTAGAAACTTTCTGTGCTCTTTTTCATCTCATGGATGAAGTGACATTATATTAGCTTCATCTGTGGTTATTTCTAGTCTTTGCTAGACTCTCCAACTCCAATAAATAAAGTCCTTCTTTATGGATCAATTCCCTTCTATTTTCCACTGTGCACGGTATCTCTCAATAAACTGCCAGAAAGTTGCAGGATCCAAACATATTCTACTTCTGAATCCAACCATGTAGTTCGCAGGCCCTCAGTGTCAGATCCTGTGGAACCTTCTGATGCCAATGGCTTGACTTGGCATGAGCTGTTGGTTTCACATTGTAATATGAATAAGTCACTCTACTTGCCCATTTGGATTTCCTATTCATTATCTATATACCAATATATAGATGACACACTGAAAAATGTTTATTTTTATAAATTAAAATATATATGTACATATACATTATACATATATGTACATACACATAGATATATGTATATATATGTATATGTGTATGTATGTGTGTGTGTGTGTATGTGTGTGTGTGTTTATGACTTAGGGCTCAACGTCTGTGTTGTTGAGAGTATTCTGTCATGCATTTGCTTTGAGGTTACATAACCTGGATTTAAATTCTGTCTCTGCCACTCACAGAAAACTTTAGAAAGCTTTTTTAATCTCCTTAAGTCATAGGTTATCCATCTGCAAAGTTAAATAATTCTTATATTGATTGGGTTGCCTTTTGAGATTAAATGTGATGATGTATGTAAAGCCATTTCAGCAAGCCCACCATGTAATAAAACCTAAAACAATGTAAGTTACTGGTCTTCTTTCCCAGCTCTGCTCCTTTATAATTAAAAAGCCTGCGCAGCCACTCTAGTTACTTGCCAAACCTAGCATGCCTGGTAATGGGAATATTAAGAGTTCAACAGCAAGCAGCATCTGAAATTAAGCAAAGTCCTAAACTGGCATCCCATACAAGATGCCATATTACATATTGGGAGAACTTAGTCTCACTGACAATTAGAAGAATAAAAGAGACTAAGTACCTGCTCAGTGTTGTATTGTTGTACTCAAAATAAAATCTCGAGAAATTATCCCCAGGTATTTTATCATGAATGGCGTCATTATTTTGCACATTGAGATTTCAAGGTGATATATCCTTGGTTTGTGAACTCCACAGTAAAAGTAATAATGAGAAAATCTGAGAAAGGTCCAATACTGATGTGTGAGGGGCCTATGAATATTCACTGTTCAAGCATTTATTCTCATGACTTTCACTTGTTTGTTGCTTTTCTGATTATTTCTTTACCAGTGCATTAGACCTATTCTTTAGTTGCCACCACAGTCCCTGTCATAGTTACCTCCTCTTGCCCCTTCTTTCTTCCAACTCCTCCTTCTTCATTTTCTATTATTTTTCTACCTTATTCTTAAATGTGGTGTGAATCCTAGAAATCTCACAAAATGAAGTGTCTACGTGAATTATTACTTGCATATAATACAGAATCTCAACATTACTTCAATGTAACCTCCAAAAACTTCATGTATTCCCTTGAACCTGGTTTTTTCTCATAAATTTCTTCTTTTCTTTGTTATCAATACCCTTACTCTCCCAGACTCACAAATTCAAATCCTGTGTCATCAACGAATCTTCTCTTATTCCTTCCTTGAATAAAATTACTCTTTGGATACTACTTATTGTCTTTTCACAGACTCACTCAACACCCTCTCTTTCTCCCACTACTACAGTCCCCATATTAGGCCCTGATTAACTTACCCTGGGGTTATTTCAGTATCTTCTAACTAGTCTTCTTGCCTAAATGCCTCTTTTCCTCAAATGATGGTAACAAACAGACTTAAAACACTAATGGTATCGGATTTCTTTTTTTCTTTTTTACTAATGGCTCTTTATTTTCTGAAAAATAAAACCCAAACTCTCTAACTTAGCTTTATAATCTTGGCCTAAACTAGATTTTTAATTATTCAGCTTTTCAAACGTCTTAATTTATCAGATTGGTCTCTGCATTTCCCCAAAGAGTCTTATATATTTTTCATCCCCATAACGTGGCTTTAGATAATTCTCCAAAATATACTGCCTTTACCCTTATTAGAATCTTACTCATTCTTTAAGATTTGCCCCATATTTTTTTTGCCATGTAATGCCTTTCTTAACCTAAGATTTCCTTCCCTTCCAATCTCCCCAATACAGGTATGTTACTGTCCTCAGCTGCAAGTGGAGTCTGTGATTATCTTTTTAATCATTACTTGCATCTTGTCTCTAGAATGTCAATGCAGTTAAGGACAGGCGACTCTACTCAGTATCTCTAAATATCTAACACAATACATTATATTTAATAAACTAAATAAAAGTTTGTTGGCTTGATAAAGTATTCTTGTTCCTGATTATAAGTTTGCTTTTTTTGTAAAGCTTATTTAGAAAGATCTGGCCACTTTTCTATTCTTTCTTTCTTCCCTACCTCTTCCGTGTTTAAAATGAGCAGTGATGCCTGTCTTCAGCATAAATAGGCAGCATGATAATGAACCTTTCCTTGTTGGTTATACTTCATTTAGAACTGTCTGCCTACTGGCCCTCGGAGCGCCACTTCTCCCAGTGATTGCTAGCATCGGATCAACATTGCTTACGGCAGCGAGCCATCTAATGGACAGGGCTGCTTGCTGTTTGTGTGTTTATATCAGCCTCAAAATGAAATTTGCCACAAAGGGTGTTCCACATCTATGATTAATGACTTGCTAGATAAGAAATGAGTATTATACAAAGGCTTAATATAACACAGTTAACAGCAATGGTAACAAAGTAAAAGACACAGATGGTGCATGTGAATTATTTTTCCCCAACATGAAACACAGAAGTCATTCTTCGAGTTTGTATCATTTATACAGATATGATCATACTCAATATTTTATTCTCTTCTTTTATTAAATGAATCAACATGGAAAGAAACAAAACTAAACAAAATTCATCATTTAAACAATAAACATACTCATAATTATAATCAATAGACACATAAAAAGAAGTAAAACCTTCTCGTATGTGTCCATAAACCAATGGGATAATTTTAACACGGTTCAGTACATAAGTACCTGATTTAAAATTACAAGGTACTAATAATGCCACTGAGGATGCCCACTAATTCAACCTAAAAATTAAATTCTTGTATCTACCTAATATCTATAATTTTATGGGTTATTACTTGAAGGCCAAGGAGTATAAATTACTTGATTCTACATAATGTATGTGAATTCCAAAACACCAGACACTGTAAAATTTCATTATGACTTTTAAAAATGGGTAATTTTATTGTGTTTTAAAGCAGTGCATATTTTACCTAAATATATTTATTTTCCTCTTACATTCTATGCCAGAATCAACTGGAAACGATGGATATAAAATAGGATACCTACATATTGCTTTAGCCATTTTAAGTTTTAATGAAGTATTCTGGCAAAAATCTCAATGCAATATATCTCACTTCTCATTACATTAGTGAAGAAATTTGTCTCTTAATGTTTCTCTTCTCTACTTAGTATGTAATTCTGAAAAAATCTGCAAATACAACATACTATTTGAAACCATAAAGCTGTCTTACTGTTGACAGTCTAAAAACAAACAAACCACAAAATAACAGGTTTATTCCATTATGAGATACAATATATGATGGCAGGTAATGCTACATAATAACAATTTATCACATTAAATTTTCCCTAATACTTAGAATTTGACCTCTAGATCCATAGAAGCATTTAAATAGTATTTATATATGTGTATATTTTAATTCAATTATTTAAACTCACTTTTGTATTACCATAATATTCTCATTAACTCTATAATCAAATGTGACACTGTAAATATAAGCCCAGGACAACACATCAATAGTTAACTTTAAATAGCATGTCTCTCTCTCTCTCTCTCTGAAAAATGCATACAGAATTTAAAAAATAATGGACATGGTAGTCCAACCAAGCTTAGATATTTGAAGGAAAATGATCTTCTGACACCAACGCAATAAAAATCATATAGGCCATTTTATCATTTAGCTTTAATAAAGTAGCTGGTACCAGACTAACGATCTCACCATAAACAACTATAAAAGCTGGACAAAACACAAATTAATCACCTAAGTGGAGGTCTGTGAAAATCACCAAGGCAGCTAAGACCTAAGAGATCAAAATCTTGGAAAATATCCAAATGCATCAAGCTAAACAGGATCTTCTCTATAAATTTTTCTCATCATATATCACCACTTCACATTGTAAAGCTCAGAGGCTTCATAGAAAGGAAACTTTAAGTGTCTAAAAAGCTAAGCAGAGATTGTGCTGGGAAGACACAATTTCAAATTCAGGTATCAGTAACAAAGTAAAGCCAAATGGATATCCTCCCAACTTCTCCAATGAGATGTGTAACAGGGCACGCTCCATGCATAAGGGCAAATATAAAGTAAAGGAACTCTACCAGAGTCAAGATCATCTGTCTATAACTGATCTATTCACCAGGAAAAAAAATAAAATAAAAATTTCTTTAGAAGAAGATAACATCATCCAGCGTCTATAGTTTTTTACATTAAAGATTCAGTATTCAATCAACATGGAATGCCAGTAAATACGTCCATGTAATGAAAATCAAACTGACAAAAAAACACATACTAGAAACAGACCCAGTTACTATAAGGTATTATTTAGATTAGATTAGAAGAATTAGAATTATTATTATCTAGTATTAGAGTTACTAGATTAATAATAATAAGTTATTATCAGTTTATCAAGCACATATTTTAAAATAAATTATTAGCATAATTGGCAAGACAAAATTTCACCAGAAAACTGGAATCTCTGAGTATAAAATGAAAATTTCAATATTGAAAAAAAAACAACTGATACCAACAATTTAAAAAATGGTTTTATCTGAAGATTCTAAACAACAGACAAGAGAATTAGTAACCTAGTCAGCCAATATAACCAGACTGTAGATCAAAGAGAAACAAATGCAGAAAAAGAAAAAAAAGGTTATATTTTTATAGAATTCATAAAGCAAAGAAAAAGTCACAATAGGATACAGATACTATCTTAAATTAAATAATAATGAAATCGTGAAATGTCAAAAATATTGAATTTAGCAAAGCTGTGTTTAAAGCATAATAAAAAGCCTCACATACTTACTTAGGAAAGGCAGAAATCAGTGACATAACTGTACAACTTAAACAACTATCAAATTAAACTCAAAGAAGGTAGAGAGAAGAAAAGAATAAAGATAAAAAGCAGAAATCAATTGTATGGAGAATAAATATTCAGTAGAAAAAATAAAAGTTGAGATTTTTTTTCTTTGAAAAGATTAATACAATTAAAAAATTCCTAGCAAAATGATTTAAAAAGGTCAGACAAGGCATAAATTATCAACATATGGAACAGAAAGTAATCACTCAAAATTCTATAAACATTAAAAATTCCATTATGAATAATTCTATGCCAAAATTTTGAAGATTAAATATAATGAAGATTATCATTAAGCAACTATTCAATTTAGAATTTTCTGAGAAATGTGACCTTGAGAAATGTGTTTTTTCTTCTTAATCAGTTATTTGATGCAAATAGGTATGTCTAGTGAATTATTCTACATTATTAAATTATATTTACAATTTTATACTCACCATGGTGGAATAAATTGGAAGCTCTTTGAATGGGTTAACAAGCAAGAGGATGTCCCCAATAAAAGTCTGTTAAAAACAAAAGGATATTTCTAGTTCTTGAACCATATAAATAGTGCCATTAAAATTAAACATCACTGTGAAAAATAGAGGAAATAGGTAAAAATCACACTTTAACATCCTATGAATTGTTTTAAAGTTTGCAAATAAAGAAACAAAAAAGTCAAATTCAAATGAAATAAAAAGGCTTGTTTCATTGAACACATAGCAGGTAAAATGACTGAATGCTAAGAATTTCTTACCTTAAAAGAGTTTTGTGAGAACCAGACTGAATAAAAAATATAAAGTTAAAACACATGGAAAAATATACTGAAGGAAGTAAATGGGCAGTGGGTTCTATGTTGCTACAAGAAAATAATAAAAATGCATAACTGAAAAGTTAATAAAACTCTAAAAGCAAATAAAGATATTTTATTTAAAAAGACAAATAATGAGATATAAAGGCACAAAGAACAGATGGAACAAATAGATATCAAATAAAATGATAGATTTAAACCCAAATCCATCAGTAATTACATCAAATGTAAAGCTACTAAATATTTTAATTAAAAGACAAAGATTATGAACTGGATTAAAATACTATATGATACTTTAAACAGAAATACCTTAAGTATAAAGACTAATAAAATTTGAAAGTTAATAAAGCAAGATATATATGCAAACAATAACAGCAAAAAAGATGGTTTAGCAATACTCGATTCATAGAAAATACGCTATAAGGTAAGAAGCAGTAGCAGTGATAAAAAGGAATTTTTTGCAATGATAAAGTAATAAATCAATCAGGAAGATACAGCAATTCTAAATTTTTATGCGAATACTATCTAACATAAAATAGATGAAGCAAAAATAGGTGTAAAGAGAAAAACATAAATTCTCAATGATAATGGGGAATTCTAAGATTTTTTTCTTAGTAACTCAGGAAATCAGAAAAAGAAATTGAAATAAATCGTTATCAAGTTGACCAATTGACATACCGAAGACTGTCACCAACAACTGCAGAATATATGTACATTTTTTAAAATTGAACATAGACCAGTCTCATTACATTAGAAGGATTTGAGTCACACAGAGTATATCCCTTGCTCATGGTAGAATTAAGATAAAAGAATGAATACCTAAAAAAATAAATCACCAAATGTTTAGAACTTATACTTCTGCAAATAACCTATAAGCCAAAAAAGGAATCACAATGTAAATGAGAAAATATTTTGATTACTACATATCATAACTTGTGAGATGCAACTAAAGTTATACTAGCTATAAAAATTATCACCTGAAATGCATTATGCTTGAAAATAAGACAGGTTGACTAGTTAATGATCTAAATATCCAATTCAAAGAACTCATCAAATTATATCAAGTAACAGAAATAATCAATATAAGAACAGAAATTAATATAATATAAACAAAAGCCAAAGGTGATCTTTTGAAAAAATCTTATAAAATGATGAGTACTCCAAAAAGTCTGGACTGACTTTCCAGAAAAAAATGCACAAACTACCAATATCAGTAATATAACATCGCTATAGATTCTATAGACATGAAAATAGATAAAGACATTAGGAATCATATTTTAGCAACTATGTTTGGACATTTAAATAGGTAGACAACAATCCACCATCTTACCAAAATGAACAAAATAAGAAAGAGAAAATTAAACTAGTTTTTCTCTGCAGAAGAAATTTAATATATGCCTAAAAACCTTTCCACAAAGAAAACCTATTTCACTGATGAATTCTTCCCCACATGATGTACAAAATAAAGTATTCCGGAAAATAACAGAAGAGGAAACACTATTTATTTCACTTTATGAGAACTGTATATATTTGACATTAAAAATCTAACTGGTATATTTAAAGATAGGAAAATTATAAACTGTTCTCTCTCATTAAAATACAAGCAAAAATTCTGAGCAAAATGTTGACAAAGTAAGTTACAGTAATATATTCAACAGATAACATATTTCAACCAAATAGGTTCAGTATAATAATGCAAAGTTGGCTTCATATCAAAAGATCAACTCTTGAAATTTATAATACGGAGAAGTAAAGTCATATGACCATCTCAATTCCCACTCTTGATTAAAAAAAAAAAAAAACTTTGAAAACTATTAATATAATGGAACTTAACCTAATAAAAAGTAACTGCATCCATGGCATAATTACTATAAACAACTTGCTTAATGATAAAACACTGAAAACTTTTCCTTGGGATCAAAAATTAGAAAAAGATGTCTACTATTATTACTTCCAGTCATCTTTTTATTGACAGTCCTATCCCATGAAATAATGCAAGAAAAGAAAGAAGCTATCAAGATTTAAGAGAAAAATGAAAGTCATTGTTTAGAGATTATATGAAAGTATATGCAAAAAATCCAAATTAATCTCCATATAAATTAATATTTAAATATGAATTTAGCAAGTTTGACGGATAAAAGGTAAATATAACAAATCAAAATTGTATCTGTATATTAGCAATAAATAATTAAAAATGAAATATGCTCGTTTTCAATAAGAATATTTATGATACCAACACTTGAAAAATACATAGAAATGTATCTAATACAAATAGGCAAGAATTCTACAGCAAAAATTTAAAACTACTCCAGAGAAATTAAAGATGATCAAAGGGGTGATATAACATTCTATCAATTGGAAAATCAAACATTCTAAAAATCTCAATTATTCCCAACTAATCTATATATTCAATGCAAAGTCAATGAAACTCTAATTGACATTGATAAATTGACTTTAAAATATATATGGATGTCCAAGAGTCATGATTAGACAAGGCATTTTGAAGAACAAAGTCAGAGGACTTTCTATATATCAAGATTTATACAGCTATAATGATTTAAATATTTTGGTATTGGGTTATCGGCAGACAAACAGAACCATACAACAGAAGACAGAGTCTAGAGACAGACCTACTCTTCAAAGTCACCTGACATATGACAAAGGTGCCACTGCTGTGAAAGCAGTGAATCCACATGGGAAAAATATTATTTGACTTTTCCCTCTAACCGCTGTGAAATCATTTCCATATAGGTAATACACCTCAAATGTTAAAGTTAAAATAACCAAACTTTAAGAAGAAAATATAGGAAAATATTCATGACCAAGATCAAAAAGCACTAAACTTAAATAACTTCATAAAAATTACAAATTTCTCTTCATCTAAAGACATTATTAGAAGACTAAAATGCAAGCCACAAACTGGGAGAAAATGTTCGGAATATGTATATTTGACAAAGAAAGAATATCATGAATATAAAAAAACTCTAAACATCAAGAAGAAAAAGTAAAATAACCTTATTTAAAAAAAAAATGGCAGTATAATTTAATAGACACTTCACAAAGGATAATGAAATGAGCAACAAAACACACATTGGTAACATCCTTATAGTTACCAGAGAACCTGAAATTAAAACCATAAAGAGATACTACTGCTCACCTGCCAGAAAGGCTAGAATTTGAAAAACAAAACAAAACAGTAATAAAATAAATAATACTGACCATGCTAAGTGTTAGTGAGGATGTGGAAACCTAAAAGTCTGTGTTGAGAGTATAACCACTTTAAAAAACTACTTGGCTATATCTATCTTATGATGCTGGCCTTCCATTCTAGGTAAATATTCCATGGAAATACACCTATATGTTACCCCACAGAAATGCTTACATGTGTGTACCCCCTCCAAAGGTTTTGACAGTTTATAACAGTATTATTTATAATAACTTAAAAGTGAAAAATACTCAATTGTAGAGTCAATAAATTAGAATATATAAAAATACTGCTATAAGTTATAGTAAAGATGAATATCAGAAACATAATAATAAAAGATGACAGACACAAAAGAGAATACACTGGATAATTCCTTTTATATAAAGAAAAAAAAAAGACAAAGCTATTCAGTAGTCCTACATGCCTGAAACTTTTGAAATGATTAGGATGAATTAGGGAAGAAGCTTCTGATATTCCATTTCTTTACGAAGATGCTGGTTACATAGGCGTATTCACCAAATAAAACTTTATGTAGCCATACATTAATGAGTAGTACATTATTCACTTCATATGTTGTAATTCAATACAACATTTACTTTAAAAAATTGGCCAATATTTTATAGCCAAGAAAAGGAAGAAAGAAATAAAAGGGAAATAACTGAACAAAGAGTGACCTTATTAGTTTAGTATTTGATAATTGCTTTTCAATTCCAGAGAAGAAAAAATGAAGATAGAAAATACACTGAGGGCGAATCAGGAATTCTACTAATTAAGGAAGATGAAAATTTCAAAAATATAATCAAAATACAGTACCTCTAAATTGCATTTTCTTATTGAGATATAATTTTTTCTTGATCTAATTATTGAAGGAAATTGAGTGTTTTTAAAAATGTATTTTGTGATAAACAAAAATAATTATAAAAATATTATCTGAATGTTAATGACAGTCATAAAAGATAATTTTATATAGGTTTACGCCATATTCTGATGAGGCTATTTTGATGAAATGGAACATTTTAAATATACCGCAGAAAAAATTTTTTTTTAATTACGGAAAGCTAAAGATTTAGTTTACCTCATTTTTCTAATACATTGCATTTTTTAAAATAGCTTACACATGTCAGATGTTCGAAAGTGTCTTTTAGATTGAATGGAATCACATGCAAGTATACGGCAAGTATTACACAGTATAGCATAGCATATTGAAGATGAGGCTTTAGATAACTAGGCTAAGGGGTGGTATTAGCTTGGGAAAAATGTGTCCATCTAGATAATTTCAAATACCATGGAAGTGAGAGCGACTTCAACTTCTGACACCAGACTGCCAATTTTCACCTCTTGAGATGCTCTTAAGACTTGCTACATCCACCTGATGGTTCCTTGATGGAAATATTAAGTTATTAAGTGACTGAGATGAGCCATGCTATGTACTTGTCTGATCAGCTGTTACAGGATTTATTTTTATTTTGTGGGGTTTTTAACTTTACGGATCTCAAAGTTCTACTAGGGTACTTGTAAAGAGAATATTGCCTGTATGTTTATCAGCCATCCATAAAGAGATTGATTGCATATTCTATTCTCTCTGTTACTGTTGACAATAATTATTCAGAAAATGCAATACATTTTCTGTGCATTTCTTAGTAAGCAAATGTCTCATCGCCTGCAATCTATTCATTTTCTGTTTGATGGTTTAGAAACTTCCTATTCCTACAGACTATATAGAAACTTTCTAATCTGATATTTAAATGGAATACTATACACTTACGTAAAAGAGTAATTTACAGATTATTTTGAAATATCACCTTATAAAACAAATCAGACTATAGCAAACAATAAAATAAAAATCCTTGTTAAACGGTTAATTCAACTGAAATATTTTATTTTAGCTCTGACTGACCCTGGTGGCAGCAGTAAAGTCATATTCCGTGTATATTTTGAGGGTAGGGCTGATAAGATTTGCAGTAAAATCAGACAGTGGATACAGAAGAAAAGCAAGCATCAATACTCTTACCAAGCACATTCTCCTGAAAACTAGAAGAACGGGGATGCCATTAATTGGGATGGGAGAGGCTATGGGAAGGGTGTGTTGGGAGCATGGGTGTCCAGATCAGATGATCAAATTTGCACATTTTAATCTTGAGACATTTATTAAATTTATGCTTTTATATTTGTGGGAAAGGAACACTTGCTTTTATTTCCAATTCATCACGGGCTGATACTTTTTGCAAAACAAAATCAAGATTAATTCCTAGAAAAATAAAAGTATAAAAGACAAAGACATACAAAACTTGAGTCTTAATAGATTTGACAGATATAAATTGAGGCATCAAATTGCTATAAGTTTCTACATGCTGACCTTCATTCCAGACTTGGAGTAAAAAGTTCATATACCAATGGTTCACAGGAGACACTTTGAGAATCACTTATTATTCAAGTAGTAATGTTTAAATTGCTTGTCTATCCATGAGAGGTGAATTCATATGCCATAACTTAGAATACTCATCACAAAATCGATCCTAGATGATTTAGCTTTTCAATATTTCAGGGATGAAGAAGATAAAAACCACGCTTCACACAGTGGCAAAATTATATTTCTTGTGAACTTTAGCAAAGCAAGGAATATTAATTCTGATTATGCAGATAGAAAACAGAGAGTATCTATGAAGATGTCCACCATGTGGAGGAGTTAGAGCTATGACTCAGATAAACAGGTTGGACATATTTGTTATTCAAGACCAGAAAGCATTTGGCCAGGCCTCCTTGTGAGCAAAACTACCTTCGCTCCCATTTTCAATGAGCTCAGAGTCTAGTACAGGAGCCGGATGCTAATCAAACCATGAATAAGGTATATAATCACAAGCACTGAGTTAATCTGGAAGGTCGAGAAAAGTTTACACAACCACTGAAGAACTTTTGGGTGGGAGTTTATAAAGCTAAGTATTTCATGGAGGTAGAAAGAGAAATTTATGGAAAGAAAAATAAATAAAGTCCCCGATGTGGGAAGGAGGGCAATGATCAGTGCCTAAAAGTCATCAACAATAGTGTTTAGGCGGCTGGGGCTGACGAGTCTCATAGGAGATCCTAGACCCTGGAGTAAGGGTTATGGTCATCTTCCCAGTGAAAAACAATAAGCCACAAGAAAGTCTACGACTGGGAGTTTTAAGATTACACTGGTTCTTTACAAAGATTACTGTAGTTGATTTTGATATCAGATTGAAAGGGAATTCAGTATCCTCCAGAAAGTTAGGAGGCTGTTGGAGATAGGATGATGATGGTTTTGAATAGGATAGCAACCACCGAGATTGAGAAAAGTACATTAAAGAGATATTTGGGAGACAAAGCCATTTGAAAAGCATGAAAGAAATAAAGAAATTCCTAACAATTCAAGCAGTAGTCTTCTGATAATATAATCAAGAAGTTAAAAAAAAAAAAGAATTAACACAAAGATGGGAAGGCAGAAAAACGGACTATAAATAACGCACAAGTAATAGAATACCACCAGACCAAAGTCATTGTGTTTTGTCACTTTAAGTCAAAGACTCAATTTCATTAATTTTGATAGAAGTATTTAATTTTAAGTGTATTTACAGTGGCAGGCAATTTATCCAAGCATTAAGATGTTGCATTGAATTTTCATTGGCCAATCAGCATTTGACAATTTATTGCTTGTAAGGAAATCTCAGACTTCACATTTACACAGAAATTACTTAATTTCTCAGTAGACTAGGGGAAAAAGGGTGTTATCAAAGAGGATAGCAGCCATGTGTGTAATCAGATTTCTCTACAGACATCTGATTGAATTGCTCGAAGTTGAACATAATAAAATCAAGGGGAGAGTTAGGAGAAGAGAAAGAGAGATTGATTGAGATTTGAGAACATGTGGTGTCTAAATTGTTACTAGTATTAAAAGAAATTATACATATAAACCAGAATAGAACCACGGCAAATCAATTCTCCATGCCGTTTATCATCTAAGTCATATATATTTGTATCCTGTTATCAAAGATCTGTGTATAAATTATTTACTTTACAGACAAAGACATTTCCTGATAATTTAGAAGAACAATAGTTTACCTTTTCATGCAAATACAGAGGCAGTCCTCCATGCATAATCAACTTTTCCTCTCAAGCTTCCTTTTCCAAATCTAGCAGGCTAAATTAAAGTAGTGAAACAAACAGCATTTCTAAAAGTGATTTTCAAATCCTGCTGGTTCTAGCAAGATATTCCACAGCAAGCATTACAAGAAAGTTGTCCCCTCAGGATATTAACTTTCACTTAACAACTCTGAAATTTGAAACTGTGCTGAACCTGCTTTATAACTGAACCAGAAGAATCAACCTGAACTCAAGAATCCACCTTAAGCTTTCAGTAGGGCCAGAAGCAAAAGTAAACCCATTACCTGTAATATCTGCAGCACTGAAGGGTGAAAATATGCAGCAAGACAAATGCAGAGCGAAGGCAATTTCAAAGGCACTTACGTATATCTGATTGTTCCCAAAGCGCTTCTGAATTTCATAAAGCAGGCTGCCATCGTTGAGCTCACTGAGCGTTGCTAGGTCATCATTCGGAGCAGGAGGCATTAGCTTGACCTGGGAAAAAAATAAGCAAGATCAATTCTAATTGCTTTGCAATCAACTTTCTTCACAGTTGGATGTTCCATTTCAATTACATGTCAAAAGTTTAAAGACCACATGAGTTTGAAACTGTTATTAAGAGATGAAATGGTTCACTTACAAGGAATAAAAAATTGAACAGACACAAAGAAATATATTCAGATGAGAATTTCTGTTCTGTATCTACGAGTGTGCACGCGCGCGTGCACGCGCGCACACACACACACACCCCCCAGATGTTACCTTACATCCCTCAAAGTCATTAAGTCTTGTCAAAATCATTTCAGCATGTTGATTCTTCCTAGTCCCTACTTACAATTTCGACAGCTCTGAACTGTGCTGAGTTCTTTCTAAGACAAGCAGCTGAAAAAAAAAAACTCATGTACTGCACAAAGCTAAAGCAAAATTTCTCCTAGTACTGTTGTTGGCATGGAAGCAATGTGCCTGGGATTTAGTTTCTGCATACATGTAGGAGGAGGCCAGATTTTAAAAACAGACTCTAGAATGTTGGCTTGTGATTTTTATTCTGCTCTACATTACTCTTAAGATTAAAGAAGCTATGAGATTAAGATAATTCTGTAAAAAAAAAAAGTTTTCCTATTCAATTCAATATGAAGTGACAGATTTTGAAAAAGTCAATATTAAAAATAAAGTACTTGAATTATTTAATTAGATGAAAATCTATCCTTTACAAGTTAGAAATGGGCAAAGTTTAATTTATATATGCAAGATATGCTCTGAAAAGTAAACACTTAATATAATATGACAGCTTTGGTTTTCTTACGTGAAACACAGAGGAGCAAAACAAGAATATTCTTATTAACACCCCTGTGAGTTCATTGGTGCCACAGTGAATTTTTGATAACAGTAAGTTTATTTGTATTATTAACATTCGTGTTTGTATTTGATATTCATATTTGCATTTTATACTTGTAGTTGTAAAATATATTGAACTACTGGATGTACCACCACTAAATAAACTCAAATACTACTGTTTATCAAATAAATGTTTAGAGAGTAAAAAATATTACACGTTTTTTAAAAACTAAATTTAGGACTCTTTTTCTGAGTGACTATTTCCCAAAATGCAATCTTTCTCATGAGTTCATAAATTCAGATCATTGTTTTCCCAGACTGTTTCTAATCCTAATGCATTAATAATATAAAATTAAATTCTTTACTGAGAATTTCAAACAGTCAGAAGAGTGGTTTGCTATGTATTCCAGTTGGAAGGGTGTCAGGGCAGTGGACTCTCTGGCATTGGAGATCCAATCACTTGCATACGTGGGAAACACAATATTCCAATAGCTGTATGTTTGTTTATTAAAAATTAATTTGTAAACTATTACAGATCTCAGAAAGGTCAGGAATAAGACTCTCTCCTCCCCATGGCATGTACACACTCAGCCAACACCTTGAGTTTATTATTTTCTCTGTTTTTGTAGCATTAAGAAAACCCATAAAGAGCATAAATACAATCTTATTAAAATTAGTTATTTGACTGTAGGTTAGAGGCATAGCTCTAAGGCTTGATACTGTCAGAAATGTTTGCTTAAATAGTCTAAGGATGGTATTCAAAACTGGTACTTGTTGCTGAAGAGAAGTCATAATGTTCCAGATCTCCTAATATTTTCTGGGTTGTCAAAATAAGTTTGGGGATTACGTGATATCAGTTTTCTAACATTATACACTTAGTTCCACTTTGAAGAGTCATAGGCCTATAGTGCTCCCAAGACTGACTGGTCTTAGAGAAGCATGAAAATTAAGCAGTGATAACCGCCTCTGCCTAACCCCTAGGTAAGGTACCTGGTAGTCGTCAGTCTTCTCGACCTACACAGTTTTTATTCTGCTTTTTCATCAGTCGTGCTAATTCAAGTAAAAGTCTTACACATTGATCTGAGCTATCCCACTCTGAATACTGGAAAAGTCAAGCTCATCTAAGTCTAAGACATCAATGATTTATATTCACCTAAGTGAATGGTGTTTAAATCCCAGTGGTATATATTCCTATCTGTGAGATTGTGAACATTTTTCTTAACATCGTCACTTTCAGTTCTCTTATAAAATATAAATAATGGTATGTCTCTCATAGCTGTTTGTGAGAATTAACTTTATGTGGAGAGTCTGGCGTGGTGCCTGTTATGCAAGTAAGTGTGGAATAATGGCATGGATTGTTATGCAGTGAGTAAAACATCTAGGAAGTACCCTGGACACTAATGGTAAACTTTCTGCCAACTTTCTCCAAGACTGCCTTCGGAGGTGGAAGGAGGCACGCAGTTGTGCCCGTCTCTGTTGCTCTCAGCAAAGGCGCTCAGCTTTCATCTGCTTTAGGAATTGCAGTTTTCGATCATATATGTCTTTAAGGGGAAGAATCTGCTGCTAACCAATAATTTTAAGTTTCAATTCATTGATATATTCCAACATCTTTACTTGTAAGTGCAGAACTTGAGGTCCAGAGAGGTCAAGTGATTTCCCCGGGGCCCCACAGATAATAAATTAGAAGTAGAAGCTGGGATTATAACTATTAGGTAATAGTGGAGGAATTCTAGCAGGTAATGAATAAATCTAGTGAAATATATTAGATAATTTGCCTTTTTTCCTTTGCTCACCTACTTTTTGCCAGGCATTGTGCAAAGATTTAGTACAAAGCGTTACAAGGAATGAGGTCTTCTACCTCAGAGTGTTTACAGTCTACCGTGGGAGAAGTAAGGACATTAATAAGAAGTTACAAATATGAAAAATGCTATGAAGGAAAAATACAGAATGCTACCAAAAAAGAAAAATTATATTTCTCAGTGGATGGTCTAAGGAGTCCTCTCTGAGGAGGTCACATTCTAGTTGAAATTGGCAATAACCTAAAAAGGCCATCCTTTGGGCTGTGGGAGAAGATGGGCCCAGGGAGAGGGAGGAGATGGCAAAGGCCCCAAGGTCAGAAAGAGACAGGTGTGTGGAGGCACCGGACACTGGCTCATGAAGCTGGAGGGTAAAAGGAAATGGCAGCAGATGGTGTTGGAGGAGCAGATGGAGCTTGTAGGTCATGGGAGGCTCCGCTTAATTCCAAGGACGCTGGAATATCACTGAAGGGCTGAAGCAGGGGTCTGATAAGTGGAGCTTCACATTGTTAATGTAATACTCTGGCAGCCCGTGGAGCGGGAAGGTAGAAGTGGTGAGACCAGTTAGCAAGCTCCAAATAATGGTGGCCCCAGCAAAAGGTCTGAGGGATGGATTGGATACAGATTTAAGAAGAAGAAGAACTACCAAGCTCAACTGTAAGTGTACCAAGCTTCACTGCATTTAAGGATCACAGACTGGAAGCATGTAAAAGGAATTCAGAAAATAAGTGGAAATGGGTAAATATGTATTTTCTAGAAATGATAAGACTACTGACAAAAATCTTTATATAGAGTGAGACATAAAAAGGAACTTTCATCAATTTAGGGATGGATATAAATATCTTTACTTTCTAATGTCTTTGCAAGCACTTCCCAAAATATGAAGACTTATACACACAGATATGCAACCTAGAAAACTAATGTATATTAATATATGCACACATACATATTAAAAAATTAATATGCACATGGATATTCATGTATATACATGAGCCAAAAACATAATTGCAATAAATTCGAACAATAAAAGGATAAGACAAAAGTCTCCTACACGTTAGCATATATAAGTCCCAAAGAAATCATAAAGAGAAGAAAAATCAAGAGCAAGCATTTTTTTTCCTTTTTTTCTTCAGAAGTAATGATTTACACTAAGATAATAAACTTCCTCTTATAACCACAATTCTAACGAGCTCAATGCAAATTTCTGCATGCATATTTAAAAAAAGAATGAATAGCACTAACAGAAGTTCCACATTTGTTCTGACAAGCCTGAAAGAGCTGTTGCAGACATCTCCTTGGTATTCTTGAGGATTTTCATCTACAGTGGCACAGCTGTTGTATGGGTTAGGGAAAATCCTAGGCTGACAATAAAAATGTGAAGACTTCCTTGTCCGTTTGTAGTAATCAAATGTGACAAATACAGTATTAGAGCAGATCAAGGGAGGAATTCCTTGCATTTATCATATCGAGATTCCAAAATGATTAGGAAGGAAGCTTTGTTAATCAATTATAAGCAAGGTTATCAAAAGGACACATTCTTTATAAAGATTTCAAAAGCATTATGACAGCGGATAACAACAAAGAAAAAGAAAAATATTTCAGTGAATATTTTTATATTATAGTTGTAGACTCAATAGTGCATACTACCAACATCTACCAAGCAATTATAACAAGTCAAAAGAGAGACAGGGAGCATGACATAGAGAATGCAGCCAGCAGTAATGTAATGCCTATATGTAGATCCAGAGGGAAGATAGAGTAATCAGCAGGGTTGTTTCATAAACTAAATAAATGTCTAACCAATGTACTGTATACTTGAAACTAATAATAAAATTAAAAGAAAAAGAGATGGGATAAATACATTAAAAAATTAACTTTCTCTTCTAGAATTGATTATTACAGCTCTTCTAGAGACATATAAACATCCATTATAAATCTCTCTATATATTTTTCCAAAAATAGAGATCTAGAACACAAAGCAGACAAAATCCAGGATAGAAAATTAGGAAGAACCTAGAAGAAACACTTTGAGAAATGTTATGAGACCCAATGGGACTTTAAGTTTTGAAAATATTCTGAGTTCACGGATTCCTTGTCTCCCGTTGTCAAAACTGCTTTGAGTGTTGTCTACTTTGTTATTTTGTTTGTTTGTTGTGACTTTTCTCTCTAGGAGGTTAGTAGTATATATCCAGGAACTAGTCACTCAATGGGCAAAAGAGATGGTCTGATTAATGGGATAAGAGCAACAAGATCTTGGGGAAGGTAGATTAGAAGAAAAGAAACGAGTGCGCGTGAATGAAGAAGAAAATAAGAAAAAACCGAGGTTACTGGGAGAGTCATGACAGGGAAAGGGGTGATAATCTTACAAAATACTTTATACTAAAGCTCCCCAAAGCTGAAGCCTGTCATCAGGCATACATAGCATTTCAATTGTTTTTTTCCTTGCTTTTATTATTCTGTTAGCTGTTTCTATGTGAAATTTATCAGTTCCTTTCACTTACTATGCCTTTGTTTGGCTGAGGATTTACATTTTGTGTATGTGAATATTGGTTTATCTGTGGACTACAGAAAGAGAATTCTCGCCAATCTTTGAAACCACTATACTGCACATGCAGCCGTGGAATGCAAATTTTCTCTCCTATTTATAGAACTGTCACAAGTCAGCAAGGCTCTAGAAGAGGAACCAGGAGCTTGCTGTTGTGTCCTCGAAACAGTGTAAGCTAAGTATTAAAGGTGTACAATAACTTGCTCAAAGTGGTATTTTGAGAATTAAATAATGTAAGTAAAAGCAGTTTTAAGTTTTGAAATGTTGACCAATACAAAGTATTATTTTGTATTATTATATTCCAAAATAATCTATATTTATTTGAAAACAATAAAACCCGATTGATGTGCTGACAGGATTTACATGAATTAAAAGCAGATAAATTAGTGAACAGAGGACTCGACCACTCTGGCAAAACCTAATATATAGTCTATAAATAAGAACAATAAAATAATGAATCCATCTTATTGAGTTTTATTCTGTTCTTGGTAAAATGCTGTCACCTTACAGGCTTAATCTTTTGTCACCTTCATAACAACCACATGAGGTCAGCACTATGTACCCATCTCACAGACGAAGCTTAGTGAGGTTAAAGAACCTCCAGAGTCACAGCACTCCAGTGACAGACCTGGACCAGAGCGAAGCTGTGTGACTCGTCACCTCTCTCTTCACTCCCAGGCTAAAACATGCACTCACTAAAAGCGATAAACATTCGACCTGAATTCCAAGCTTGAACTAAATATTTTGTATTTAAATAAATATTTAAATAAATATGTTCTGAAAGGAAAGAAGAGAGGAAGGAGGCAGAGAGGGAAGAAATCAGGAAGGCAGGAAACTAGAACAAGAATGGAAGAGGACAGGGCAGGGGAGGGGAGAAATGGAAGCGGGAAACAGAACTAAAAGGGAAAAGGGGGAAGAGGGTCCTACACATTTTTAAGCAACTTAAGGCAAATTCTACATTCTCATGCGTATTATAATAGCAACTGTTAATTTTTGTGATTATCAGAACCAAAAAAAATGTTTAAACCAACCCTTGAATGTCCATTTACACAGTTACCATTTGATAAGACCTACATTTTAGAAAAAGCTAGAAGGAAAGATGTTGTGGGTTTTGTTTCACTTAAAAATTTTCCTTTTACTTATACATTCCTCATTGACAATGTTAATCAGAAACTTGTTTTGACAAACCTTTTCTAAAACTCTCCTATGGAATGTGAATGTATAATACAATCAGGATTCTTCCTCTGTTTTTCCTCTGGAGACAATCACCTCTGCACCTCATGGCCAAGAATTTATGACAGCGCGATGAATACAGTGAGAGATATGAGTGAATATTATATAGATAATACATAAACATAAAACCTGAATAAGCCATTTATTCTCTAATACCAAATAAAAAGAATATGAATATAACTAATTTTAATGTTTAGGATACAGTTATAAAGAGCTTACATTACAAAAGAAAAGTCATTCTACTTTTAAGTATAAAAGGATTATACTTGACATTATATCATGAATTTTTTCTCATTTTTTAAAAGATTTTAAGTTTTTAGGTAAGTTTCAAATTTACAGCAAAATTGAGAGGAAGGTCTAAAGTTTTCCCATATACCCCTGATCCTATACACACAGCCTGCCCCATTATTAAGATCCCTGACCAGAGCAGTACAATTGTTAAAACCGATGAACCCAGAATGACACATCATTGTTACCCAATGTACATAGTTTACATCAGGGTTCACTCTTGGTATTGTACATTCTACGGGTTTTAAGTAATGTATAATGACATGTATCCACCATTATAGTATCATACAAAGGAGTTTCAGGACCCTAAAAATCCCCTGTGCTCTACTTATTCATATCTCCCCTACCCAAATCTTGGCAACCCCTAATCTTTTTACTGTCTCCGTGGTTTTGCCTTTTCCAGAATGTCAGATAGTAGAATCAGTATATGTAGCCTTTTCAGATTGGTTGCTTTCATTTAGTAATATGCATTTAAAGTTATAGGAAGTTCATAGGATCCTTAAAAAAGTTAAGAAAAAACTTTGCCTTAAATTTACCTAATTTTCAATTTGCCTACTGCTATGGACTCGGTTATGTCCTCTATAATTAATATGTTGAGGCTCTAACCACCAAAATGACTGTACTTGGAGACAGAGCTTTAGGAGCTAATAAAAATTAAACAAAGTCATGGTGTGGGGCCCTGAGCCAATAAAGTTGGTGTTCTTATAAGAAATACCACAGAGATTGTTCCCTCTCTCCCTATCTCTACCATATAAAGACATGGTGAGAAAGCAGCCATCTACAAGCCAAGAAGAGAGCATTCACCAGGACTGAGTTGGCCAGCACCTTGTTCTTGGACATCCAGTCTTCAGAATAGTGAGAAAAAAGTTTCTGTTCTTTAAGCCACCCAATTTGTGGCATTTTGTTATGCAGTCTGAGCAGATGAATATACCTACTAAAATTTAAAAGTATTTCAAACGTTTTGCTGTTTCAGTTACTTTAAAATGAATTAATGAAATAAATTTTTGAAAAGAATCTTCAGAAAAATCTAGGTAAAATATCTTAAAAATATTCAAAGTTAGATACACCAAAACGTTTCAAGGATTAGTCTAATGTTTACTAAATTACTCTACCATTTATAAAATGCAACATATATTAATATCATTTATTTCTATGGAAATGGTCACATAAAATACATTAAATTCTGTAATTCCAAGCATCTCAAAGTGATCTCCCAAAGTGATCTCAAATCAAAATACATTAAATTCTGTAACTCCAAAGCATCTCAAAGTGATCTCTGTGTGTGTATATGTGCACGGGGACACGCACATATACACACACAGACGCAATACACACGCAGTTATTTGTAAGGATAAATGACTCAGTGATTGGTTTGTTTTTCTTGTTATGAAAAACATTCGGATATTTAAAGGAAATAAAAAGTCTATATAATAATCAAAATGAAGACTATAGACAGAATTGGAAATATTTGGAATTAGCATATTAGTTGTGCTTATACTCTAGATACATAAGTCAAGACCAGAAAATTCAAATCCTGGTTAAAAAGCCATTGTTTGTTAATGGTCAGTAAAACATCATAAGAATTTATAAATGGAAATCTTAAACAAAATACTAATCTATGCTTTCGTTAAATTTTCTTCAAATGGAAATTACTGGGTAATTTTTTTTTGGATATAATAGTACACAATATTAGCAGACAGTAAGAGTATAATTACCTGCTCAGTTTTGGTGGGGCCATTCACAGTGGCGTTTTCAGGAGTGCTGTCCAGAGATTGTCTCTTGCATAAACCTTTTGTCGAATCTTTAAACATAATGTCTTTTTCCAACAAGCTGTCTTGCTTGGCAATTGGCAACACCAGGGGACTGCTACAGGAAATAATCGATACTATAATTACTCTTCTTCTAACATGGCCATATTTATCATAAATTACCACAACAGGACATCTCAATTATAGAAAGTTGCTTTATTCAGATAAGAAACAGTTTCTCTATATTGACTGAACAAAAAAGGAAAATCTGTACACCTTTCTATTAGCTATGAAAAAATAAGCACAATCTAAATGTTGAAGCTTTTATAACATTTTTATATTAAGACTTTAAAATATATATTGGCTAAACAATACCATATAAGCAGAAATATGTACATATTTAATCAAGTGCAATATATATAAATATAATTATTTCATGTAGTCTACAACAGTAGTGATTCTAATTGAAACTCGGTGCACTTTTTTGGCTTTTTTGAAACTCAAGTTTATTGAGTTATATTTACATGTAATAAAATTCACCCTTTGTAGGATTACAGTTGAATGACTTTATATATATATACGTATATATATATGTATGTACATATATACGTATATATGTACATATATATGTATGTACATATATACGTATATATACGTGTATATATATACATACGTACGTATATATGTATGTACATATGTATATATGTATATATACACATACGTACGTATATACATATGTACATATGTACGTATATATATATACGTGTATATATATATACACACACACACATACATACACACACATATATTTATATTTAGTATAACCAACATAACCAGCAATATATAGAATTTTCATTACTCCCAAGTGTCTCTTTGTGCCTGCCCTTCGGAGTTAATCATCTCCCCTGGCCTCTCACCCCTTGTAACCACTGATAAGTATTCCTTTCATTACAGTTTTACTTTTTCTAAAATGTCATATGAAAGGAATCAGAGAGTAATCTTTTGTGTCTCGCTTCATTTATTTAACATAAAGTTTTTGAGACTCATTCAAATTGCTGCATGTATCAATAGTTTGTTTTTTTATTGCGGAGTACTAGTCTACTGTAGGATGTACTACTCTTCGGTTATCCATTCACCAAAGATTTGAGTTGTGTCTAGTTTTTGTTAATTCTGAATGGAACTTCTCTACACATTCACATACAGGTGTTTGTGCAGACATATGTTTTCACTTATCTTGGTTAAATATCGAGAAGAAACTCAAAACTATTTCCAGAGTGGCTGTACCATTTGGTGTTTCCCCCAGCAATGCGTTGGAGTTTCACTTGCTTCACATTCTTGCCAATACTCATTTTTTTTTTTTTTAATCCATTCTAGTAAGTGTGTTAGCGGCTTCTCACTGTGGTTTTAATTTGGATTCCAACTGTGCTTATTTGACATAAGTATCCCTTCTTTGGTAAAGGGTGAGTTCAAATCTTTGACTATTTTTTACTAAGTTTTTTTGTAGTAAGACTATTGAGTTTATACATTCTGAATTCAAGTTCTTTATCACATATACACTTGGCAAATATTTTCTCCCAGTCTGTCTTCTCTGGATTTTTCTAACAGTGTGTTTCAAAGAACATTTTGTGCTTCTAATGTCTTACCTAAGAATTATTCTCTGAACCTAAGACCAACAAAGTTTTCTCTTAGGTTTTCTTACAAAAATTTTGTAGTTTTATACTTTACATTTAAGGTCTATTATCCACTGTGAGTGACTTTTTGTATATAGTTCTATATATGAGTCAAGGCTCACTATTTTTTCATATGGCTGTCCAAAATTCCAGCATCATTTCTGAAAAAAAATCTTTCCCCAACCAATTATCTGAACATCTTTGTTAAAAATCAATTGACCATATATGTGTGGATCTGTATTCCACTGATATAACAGTCTATTTTTACACCAATACTATACTGTCTTGATTAATGTACCTTCACAGTAAGTCTTAAAATCTGGTAATGCGAGTCATCCAACATTTTCTTTTTCAAAACTGGTTTGTCTATTTGAAGTTATTAGCATTTTCATATAAATTTTAGATCTAAATGTCAATTTTTATAAACATGCCTGTTGGGATTTTGATTAGCATTTCATTAGATTGATAAATCGATCTGGAAAGAATTTACATATGACAATGCTGAATTTTGTCATCCATAAGCACAGTAAATTTCTCCATTTATTTTGATCGTTAATTTTTCTTATCAGTATTTTGTAGTTTTAAGCATTAAAATCTCTCAAATAATTTGTTAGATTTATTCTCTTATAAGCGCATTTTTTAATTTCTATTTTCAGTTGCTAATTGTTAGTATATAGAAATACAAACAATTTTGTATCTTAACCTTGACGATAGAGGAAGAGAGTAACTTGAAGGGCTTTTTTCTGTAACCACAGTGTCTCATCGTTTTGCAGCCCATCTCTATGTCCTGCCTTCTAACTCTAGTCTAGGAAAGTGTGAGTAAAGACAGACTAGCAAATGGCTGCATTGAGGCCAGGCCTGAGGGGAAGGCAGGGATAGCTAAAGAACATGTTTACAGAAATGTGTGGTTAGTTTTACAACTTTTGAAATTTGTATGATGGTTTATAGTGTTTCAGTCAATGACTATATTTTCAAGTAGGTTAGGGGAGAGTGGAACATATACTAAAAAGAGGCAGCAAGGTATAGTGACGAGCATTTATTTTTGAGTTAGAAAAACTACGTTGGATGCCTGACTCTGCCACCTTGGGCAAATTATGCAAACATTTTGTAAAACCCATCCGTAAAAAAGGCCTATATGAGGGATTACTAACAAAATGCACATGAAGGGCTTAGCACAATGACTATGGTAATAAGCAGACAATAAAATTAGCTGTCATTTGTATGTGCCCCAAAGTGTGAAGTTTCTGGGATTTTATTCTACTTACAAGGTGTAACACTTTAGTTTCTTACTATTTCATGGATGTGTGCATAAGACAAGAGACTTCTGGATCGGAGACAGAGAACTTTATTACTCATGGAAACAGTAAACAAGGCTTCATATTCACACCAGTTCTCCTCGATCCCCTGTGCCATGGAGAAGGGGGTGGGTAGGAGGGGGCAACACAGGTGGAAACTTAATGGATTCCTTCATATACAGTGTGTATTATAGGAGAGAAACTTGGACAAGAGTCAGGTACTATTTGAGCGAGCAGAAAACAATGGATGTCATGAGCAGCAGACAAGCCAGTGTCCCTTCTTTGGACGTGAATGTTCTACTCTCCTTGAGCTACACAGTCATTAAAATAACTAACTACATATGCCTTGCAGTCTGACAAACTAAACAAGAATGTAGAAGGTGCTCAAGGCCCATGGCAGATATCCCTCCCAATAATATGATTATTATTTTTTTAAAAATTCACTATAAATATGGAATGCTTATAATGCTTTAAAAATTTCATATCCAACTCTGCTTGAATACCATCAAGTGATAAGATAACTACAACTCCCAAAGAAGCCTTATTTCTTCATTGAGCAACTCTGGAGCAATGCTGGTATGTTCTAACTTGTATTCATCATCCTTAGAGCTCCTGAGAGTATGCCTTGTACTTCTTTGACATGAGAGCCCTTCAGATATTTGAAGACAGCTATAGTTTCCCTATATTTTGTATAATTTGAGTGAACCACTTGGAAAACATTTTAATAATCGTATGGCATTTAATGTGTGATAGTCTCTGCTCTAAGTACTCTACACATATTAACTCTTCACTTGGCAATATTATAAAGTGTGCACTATTTTTATACCTGTTCTATTGATGAGTAAACTAAGAGCCATAGAGAACAACCTGATCTGGATCACTGCAGACAGTAGGTAGTGGAGCTGGGATTTGAGCTCCAGAACTTGTGTTCTTAACCACCATGTCATATATACTGCCTACAACTAAAAATCCACTCTCACACCTATCAAAATATTTCCTTACTTATTTCCTCTTGTATCAATCATCTCTTTTTTCTGGAGATTTAAAAAAAATATATTGAAGACAAGTTTTGCATATACCAAATCTTCTGAGTATAAAAATATTAATAAAGCAGTGATTTGAATGGTCAGGTAGAAACTAATAAGATAGTTTATGAAAATCATAAAATCACCAATTATAAGGTATTGCTAAAAGGAAGAAATAGTAAGTTTTCTAAAATAGCTGATATGCTCCTTTCATATCTCAAATTTTATTGCAGTGTTAATAGCAGGCTCCTTGAGGGCACAGTTAGGAAAAAAAGATTGGTCCAGGAATACTGGGACCTCATTCTAAGTCAGTTTTTACCTCAAGTTGACTACTACCTTGACCTTGTAAGGACTTCAAAATCTCTGGGCCACAGTTTTATCTTTGTCAAATGTGGAAATTAGACTAGGTAATATCTAAGTGTATATCAAGCCCTATAATGCTAATACATAATCTGTCTTCATATACTTTCCACCTGCATGTTTAAAAACATTATTTACACACTCAATAATATCGTAGGTTATATACTAAAGATCTATTACTAACAAAAATTGCAAGTAGCTGGTTACAAATACTCTTTTATTCATATAAGAAAAAATGATTCTAAAAAATATAATTTAATTAAATGGCAACATATTAATTAGTCATGCACATATTTTCAACAAGAAAAATGCAAAACATGTACCTAGGCTGATGGCATGTGATACTGTTTTAAACATCTCTAGAACAATTTTTCTTTAGGTTTCTATTTCACTTTTTACATAATCATTAAGATTAACAGATTCATATGAGTTAATTTTTATATATTCAAATTTTTACTCATTATCTATTTGTGGGATATAACTTCCATAAGTTCCAGTTAGCAAACAAGGATGGCCTACTCACACTGACCAGCCTTCCAGATTACATCCTCCAGCACTTTCTTTTCCACTAGCTCGCCCCAGTGCTAGAAAGCTCTCTGGCCTTGCTTCATAGAGTTGAGTTTAGTCTCTCTCCCCCTTCGCAACACTCTTGAATAAAGTCTTACTTGCATATTTAACTTCTCTGGTGTAATTTTTCCTTGACGCTAATGTGTGTTTTGTTTTGTTTTTTTCAGACTTCTATTTGTTTTTCTGCACTTTCCAAATTTT